CCCGCATAGGATCCTCCTGCCCCAGCCTCTCACATAGGATCCTCCTGCCTCAGTCCCCCCGCATAGGATCCTCCCACCTCAGCTCCCCCGCATAGAATCCTCCCGCCTCAGCCTCCCACATGGGATCCTCCCGCCCCAGCCCCCCTCTGCATAGAATCCTCCCGCCTCAGCCTCCTACGTAGGATCCTCCCACCCCAGCCCCCCTGCATAGGATCCTCCCGCCCCAGCGCCCCCACATAGGATCCTCCCACCTCAGCCCCCCGCATAGGATCCTCCTGCCCCAGCCCCCAGCATAGGATCCTCCCACCCCAGCCCCGCTCTGCATAGGATCCTCCCGCCTCAGCCTCCTGCATAGCTGGGACCACAGGCATGAGCCACCCGGCCTGACCTGCATGTACTTTTATTTATTTATTTTTGAGACAGAGGTTTGCTCTTGTTGCCCAGGCTGGAGTGTGGTGGAACAACCTCAGCTCACATGCAACCTCCGCCCCCTGGGTTCAAGTTCAAGCAAATCTCCTGCTTCGGCCTCCCAAGTAGCTGGGGTTACAGGCATCTGCCACCATGCCTGGCGAATTTTTTGTTGTTGTTGTTGTTGAGACAGAGTGAGACTCCGCCAGGCTGGAGTGCAGTGGTGCGATCTCAGCTCACTGCAAGGTCCACCTCCTGGGTTCACGCCATTCTCCTGCCTCAGCCTCCCGAGTAGCTGGGACTTCAGGAGCCCGCCACCACGCCCAGCTAATTTTTTTTGTATTTTTAGTACAGACGGGGTTTCACTGTGTTAGCCGGTATGGTCTTGATCTCCTGACCTCGTGATCTGTCCGCCTCGGCCTCTCCAAGTGCTGGGATTACAGGCGTGAGCCACCGCGCCTGGTCTGTTTTTTGTATTTTTAGTAGGGACAGAGTTTCACCGTATTGACCAGGCTGGTTTCCAACTCCTGACCTCAGGTGATCCACCCACCTTGGCCTCCCAAAATGCTGGGATTACAGGTGTGAGCCACCATGCCTGGCCTCTGCACACACTTTTAAAAATACCAATATTTTTCCTTACACAGGGGGAGAACTCTGTCTCGGTCGATGGGAAGTGCAGTGACTCCACGCTGCTGAGCAACTTGTTAGAAGAGATGAAGGCGACGCTGGCCAAGTGTTGAGAGCTGCCTGCGAGCCCCGCCCACCCGGGGACCGCAGCCCTGACGTGTCTCGCCTCTCCTCGGTCGTGTGTACTGTACGCAAGCCTGAGTGTTAATTTAATTAACTCCTTGTTGTCGCCCGCCGTGTAGACGTCCGAGGTCGTACGTTGCGTTGAATTATCCGACCGTCCTTTTTTACTGTGACTCTTCCCACTCTCTTTGGCAGGAAGTCCCCTTCACGTCCCCAGACCAGCAAGGGCCCCCCCACCTGGCCTGTGCCTGCCCCGCGCTGGAGGCTGAGTCCTTGAATGTGGCTTCAGGGGCTCGTGTCCTGGGCCAGGGCCCAACGGGCACCACATGAGGGGCACTTGGTGGACAGGGCGGGGCTGACGTGGCCTCCTCTGGGGTCACCTGCTTTTGTCCCAAAGGTCCTGACAGTGGCGTCCGGGGTAGGGCAAGGAAGGGCCGCTGTCGCCAAGGTTTTCTGTCCCAGGACCCACGGTGGGAAAGCGGTTTTGCCGGGCGTTGTCCATCGTCAGTGTGCTCGTGGGCTGGTGGCTGGGCCCTGGGATCCCAGGCCACGCGCCAGCCAGGCTGTGGGCAGGGAGGGGCCAGGGACGCCGAAGAGAGGTTGCCGTCAGAACCATGGACCGGGTGGGATGAGGCCTCTGCCACCATTCTTCCTGGTCAGCAGAAGTGCAGCTCGACGAGCTTAGGTTTGGGGTGGGGGTGTGTGGTCGCGTCCCCTGCTTGCCACTGTGCGCACCAAGGTTTCTCCACGTCCTTCCCAGCACTGTTAGGAAGGCCCGGGCAGGGCCTGGAAGCACCTGACCCGGGCTGTTCTCCTGTGTTGAAGGAGTGTGCCCAGTGCCCTTGGGCAGGACCTGGGAGAGCCCCCACCAGGCAGGGCAAGGGGACTCTGCTCAATCCCCGTGGCCAGCGTGGGCACAGGACTGACCCTTCCTCAGAGATAATGACATTTTATCTTTTCCTTTTGATGAAAACTGTCACTTTAGCATGTAATCTATTACAGAATCCCGTGCAGTGATTCTAGGATTTGAAATTATATGATGTGTTACATAAGAATTTATTTGCTATCGACATTCCCGTATAAAGAAGAGAGACATATCACGCTGCTGTCATGATTTTGTGTCAAGATGATCCAATAAAGTTGTAAAACAGGCATTTCCACATGGGGCCTTCTGCCTGACCTGGTCATGCGGCGCTGCAGGGTTGGAGCCTCTGCGCCTCAGCTCACGGGCCCTTGGGAGGTGGCCTCCGTCCCCAGCACCATGCAGGCCTGGGGCTCGGGCAGGCACAGGCCAGGGAATCCCCCACCCCGTGGAGGCCTTGGTTCCCAGCATCTCCCCCCAGGGCTGTGCAGGGGAGCAGGTGCCCGCTCTCCCTCCCGTTCCGCAGGAGCCCCTCAGGGCAGGGACAGATCCAGAATTGAGAACTGCGGAAGAGCAGCCACCCCGCCCCTGGGTGAATTTGCCTCCTTTACACCAGCCTTACACCTTGAAGATGGGAGCCTCGAGCAAGGTGACGCTGGGTCAGTGAAGCCCCTGCCAACTCTAACCCAAGACGCGGCCGTGGTGGTAGGCATTTGGTGGCAGGGGGCGCAGAGCAGCACAGACGGGACCCCAGCCGCGGCCCGCACCAGCGTCCTTTATAGAAAACAGTGCCTTGAAAGCACCTGCCGCAAGCCTCTTTCCTGTTAAATACGCTCGCCAGCCTCGGAGGAAGCATCTTTCACAGCCAGGACCCGGCGCCACCACTCCGGATGCTGTCCTCAGTGGCCACTACCACGTTCTCCCCCGACACGCGTGTGGCTGCATGTCCCACGGAGCCTGGGAGGCGCTTGGCCACCTTCCTACACGCCGTTCCTGACAGCGAATGTGCCCATGCGCCCCTCCCGTGACGGAAGCCTGAGGCGGCCGCGGAACAGTGCGTGGGGCCCACGCTGGCAGCGCCAGTGTGCTCAGGGCTGTTCTCGCCAGTGTCCTGCAGCCGCCCCAATGCCGGAGCAAAGGGACACTCGAGGAAGTGAGGAGACCAGCAGAAGCGAGGAGACCACCGGGCTGAGGTCGCCCGAGTGAGAATGGGACTTGGAGCGGCACCACTGCACAGATGGAACACGAGTCCCTCCCTCCTGTGTCTCAGGACTGGTCAGCCAGGGTCAGGCAGTCGTGGCCCCGGCTCTGGCCATCATGCCACACCTGTTGCTGGCACAGAGCTGAGACAGCCACAGTTCCTGCGTTCCTTGGCTCGGATCTGATGTGACCAGAACACCTAAACGCACTAGTGCTGGCCCTGGTCTCGACCATACTGTGGCCTCGCTTTGGGTGGAAGAACCCAGGCACTCTGTGGGCTTGTGCGAGCCTACCTGTGTGTGCTCAGGTGGGCCACAGCCCCACATCTAGGAGTCCGGGGACACTCCCTGAGGCCCTGTGAGTGTGGCTCCGAGTCGGCCCCCATGGCTGCGGACCTGAGGCCAGGACCTGCCCTGCTCTGTCTGGGACTTTTAGGCCTCCCCAGAAGCCCACCTCCAGCCCCCAGAGGCTTCCCCCTGCCCCGACAAGAACTGTTCTGCAAAGAGAAACATCAGGGACTTTAATCATCACGTCTCGCAGCTCCGCAGACCTGCCCAGGCGCTGACGCTGTACACGGCCCCCTCCCTCCCGCCCTCCCGGCCCTGGCCAGCTCAGGCTCTGTCTGGGGTTGGAGGGGGTTCCTGAGGCAGCAGCAGCCCAGCTCCAGAGGGACAGGCGGGGGCTGTCCAGCTGAGTCCTGGCCCCACGTTGCGCTGGGGCAGGCCCGGCTGCTGTCAGTGCTGCTTGAGACACTCAGCAGCATCTTCCAAGGTCAGGTTGGCCAGGTGTGGGGGCTCCAGACACCTGAAGGCCGGCGATACCAGGCTGTGGGGAGATGAGGCTGCCTCAGCTCTCCATGTCCCCCCACCGCCTGCCTCCCTGCCTGGGGGTCTTTGCTGGGGGGCCCCAGGCCTCTCCTCCCCGCTGGGATATGTGGTCCTATGTGTGGCCACATCCATGACACCCGCGTGCCTGGGATTTCAGAAGGGTGTGGGGGCCGCGGCACGCAGTGCTTAGGAGCACCCCTTCTCCCGAGGCCTCCCTTCTCTAGGTCACTCACAAGGCTGGGGTGGCTCTGTGTGTCCCAGGCCAGGAGAAGGAGGAGGAGTGTAGTTTGTTCGTGAAACCACCACATGGGTGTAGTTGCAGAGGTGACATCCAGCAGGTGTCCCAGGTATAGGGAGAGCCCCACCTGCGGTGCCCCCACTGACCTAGAGGACCCCCAATCCCCCGCCTTCCTTTACTCCCTTCCCCTGAAGGCCAGGTTAAGGCAGCCTTACCTCATGCTCACGTCCTGTCTGAAAGGCAATATGGGGCAGTCAGCTCCTCCATGGGGCACCCCTAACCATCGCAGGGAACCCTCCCAGGCTCTGACCACAGACCTGGGGCAGGGGTGGAACCAGACCCTATGGGGACCCTTTAAGCAGGATGCCCCCCTCCAGCTAAGGGTCAGAGACCTTTGAGGGTGAAAGGGACTGCGGCCACCTCCTGCGAAGAGCTGGGTTGGACGTGGGAGCTGAGGGAGCCAGCCTGTGCCCCACACATACTCACCCACGAGGTGCTCACACACGTGCACTGCCTGTGTCGGTTTGAGGAGGGGACTTACTTGTGCCAGTTATTTCTACAAGGACAGTGGGTTTGGACTCAGGAGGCCGAGTGACCACGGCCAGTGTTCCCTCCCAGGCCCAGGTGAGCTTGCTGCCGCCCCAAGACCCCACTCACATGTAGTTCAGCAGGCCCTGGACAGCTGACTCCCACTGCTCCGAGGACCTATGGGACGTGGGCTTGGAAGTGGTGCGCCCCTGAACCCCCGAACCCACCCTACCCTGATGACGAGGGCCAGGTGGAAGGTGGGGAACCCCCTCCAAGGAGAGCCTGGGACCCCAGGGACAGCAGGGCCCTGGCATAGGTGGGTGTGATGCCTGAGCCCTACTCGCAGTTATAGCCAAAGCAGGCGACGTGCGAGTCTGTGCAGTTGTTGCAGGAGATGGTCTCGTACTGGAAGATGCCTGAAACACACGACAGCCGCCAGGGCTCCCCTCGGCCTCCAGGGCCCCGAGCTGCCGCCAGCGCGCCCCTCAGCCTGGACAGAGCCTCGCTTACCACAGTGGCGCTGACAGTCGAGGCGACCTGTGGGAAGGCAGGACAGCGCCGTCTTACCAGGCCCAGCCTTGTCCCCAGTCCTGCCTCCTCCCAATCCGTCAAAGCCTCGGGGCCTGTCCCTCGCCACTGGGGCCCAGGCTCACGTGGTTTTCATGTATGTGTGTCCATGGCCCAGAGGGAAGGGGTCCCCAAGGTGACCCCCAGCGTGGGATGGAGCAAACTTCAGGGGAGGGCGTGGCGATGCTCCCAGCGCCTCTGGGGGCTACTTAGGGGAGGACCCGCGGGGTGATGGCATTGATCCTTCAGGGGCTGGGCTGGGTCCCTCCCTGGGGAGCTGCCCTCCTCCCCAGCTGCCCGGTGCCAGGTGCCCTGTTCACATCGCTCCAGCCTCAGCCAAGCCCCGTGGGTCTCCGAGGCTCTGGGCCACACCTCCCTCCCCTGAAGCCTTATTTGCTCACTTTCAATGATGGCGTTCTGGATGAGGTGCACCTGCTCCCGGAAGATGTTGCGCAGCTCGTTGGGGAAATACCCTGAGGAGTCCAGGCAGGAGAAGGTCAGGCTCAGGCGGTGGGCGGGGTGTCCTGGGGTGGGCGGGCCCCGCCTCGGTTTCGCGCCCCTTACCCGGGAAGTACATCTTCCCCTGGTACAGCTGATCCATTCTCTGGTACACTGCTGTCGCCACTTGGTCCAGCTTCTCCCGGGCTGCGGGCAGGAGAAGCAGCCAGGTGACCGGCCTGCCCGGGGGTCTCGCTGGGGGGTAGTCGGGACTGGGCTGGGCTCCGGCACTCACTGATCTCGGCGGGGATGGCCAGGTGCAGCTCCTTCATCGTGTCGTCGCTCCAGTCGGTGAGCAGCGCCCCTGACACGGGGATGTCGCCCACCCACCAGGACTTGAGGTTCACATGGTGGCGGTAGAAGGAGAACTTCTCGGAGAACTTGCTGTGACAGTGCAGACAGCCGTGGGCCAGCGCCGCCGTCACGCCCACCAGGCACAGCAGCAGGGCCATGCCCGTCC